ACATCTCAAAGGCCTTCAGCTCTCGTAAAGAAGCTTCCGGGGGAGCGTCCATGCCTCTACTCCGTTTAATAATGTAGAAAATCCATAGCATATGATGATAGAGGAGATTTTGGTACTAAGTGGTAAAATGTGACTTTTGAAAAGAGTCTTCATCTTAACGAACGCTGATCTTGCTTTCCATATGCGTTGTTTTATTTCAGTAGAGTGGTCTCATTGACTGTTTATGTTAGTACCAAAATATGTGTAGCTGTTTACTCTGTCAATGGACTATTGGTTTACTAAAATATGTGTATTTAATATTTCGCGCTTACCAACTACCATGTAATTTGTTTTGTTCTTATTGAGATCCAGCCCATATTCTCGAGTTGTATCTGAGATGCGCAACATTATGGTTTGTGAACCATCTTCTAGTCTGTCAGCAAAAACTACTGCGTCGTCAGCATATCTTATGTTGTTTAGACACACGTTTGTCTAGTTGTCCCAGTGCTTTCCCGAAGATACGCTTCGAGTACATGTTAAATAGCACTGGAGACAGAATGCATCCTTGTCTCACTCCTATATCTATGCAGATTGTCTATGTGAACTGGCCATCCAGTTTAATGTTGACAGTTTTGTTGTTATATAAATTATATATAATTATATATAATAAAGTCTCTATCACACAAGTTCATTTCTTTCAAGATGGATATGAGCCTGTCATTTACTCTATCAAATGCCTTTTGTAGTTATAAAACAAATATATACATCACAGTTGACATTTTTGCACCTCTGGATAAGCACTTGTACACCGAATAGAGCTCGGGTGCTTAAGTTTTTCAGATTTATTATATATTCTGATATATATCATTTTTAAAAACGTTTTAAGTAAGCGGCTCATTAGGCTAATTATTCTGTAGTCTTCGCATGTTTTTGCATTTAATTTTTTTGGTATAGTTACGAAGGTCGACTTTTACTTTCAATATAAATAGGTCATATGTCATATCTTCTTTGTCAACCATTTTCCATCCACTCCGAATGTAGGTCTCTCCCAATTGCTTCCATCTTTCTCTATCTTGCGCCAATCTAATCCACTGTTTGCCTGCCACCGCTCTTATGTCATCTACCCATCTTTTTTGAGGTCTTCCCATGCTTCTTGTTGTCGTCCTTGGTCTCCATTCTAGAATTCTCAGTGTCCACCTGTTGTCATTATATCGGGCTACGTGACCTGCCCAGCGCCATTTCATTTTTGTAATTTCTTCCACAATATCCCTAATCTTCGTTCTACGTCGTATCTCGGTGTTTCTAATCTTGTCTCATAGTGATATTCCAAGCATGATTCGTTCCATTGCTCTTTGCGTTGTTTCTAATTTTTTGGCAGATTTTTTGGTAAGTGCTACTGTCTCCAAGCCGTAGGTACAAACAGGTAATATGCATGTGTTATACACTTTTTTCTTTAAGTTTATAGGAATGGAGGTGTTTCTCAAGATATGTGCTAGTTTGCCGAAAGCGCCCCAAGCCAGTTGTGTTCTTCTTTTAATTTCAGCATCTTGATTTGGTTTTCCTAGTTTGATAACATGACCTAGATATACATAATGTTCCACATTTTCTATGGTATGATTTTGTATTGTTATATTTGTCTGGTCTCGGCTCAGTATTTTTGTTTTGCTGTAATTCATTTTTAAGCCTACCGCTCCTGAAACTGCATTTAATTGTTGTAACATATCATTTAGTTCTTGGATATTATCGGCTATTAAAACTATGTCATCTGCGAATCTCAAATGGTTTAAGTATGATCCGTCGACGTTGATACCCTTATTGTTCCATTCCAGTTTCTTAAAAATATCTTCTAGAGCAAGAGTAAATAGTTTGGGAGAGATGGTGTCTCCTTGTCTTACTCCCCGTTGTAGTCTTATGGGATTAGTTTTTGTGCTTTCGTCCAGTTTTATATGCATTGTGGCATTTTCATATATGTTTTTAATTATGTTAATGTATCTTGAATCTATGCGTGCATTTTCTAGAGATTCAAGCACTGCCCATAATTCGATGGAATCGAATGCTTTGTGGAAATCGACGAACGCCATATGAATTGGAACATTATACTCGGTGCATTTTATTATCAGTGTTCTTACGGTGTGCAAGTGGTCTATGGTATTAAAATGTTTTCTGAATCCAGCCTGCTCGATAGGTTGATAGAAATCGAGCTTATGTGTTAGGCGGTTGGTTATTATTTTAGTAAGTAATTTATACAGATGTGATAGCAAGGATATTGGTCGGTAATTCTCGATGTTTGCTCTGTTTCCTTTCTTGAATAATAAAATGACCTCGGAGTTGTACCATTCTTGAGGAATCTTTTCTTCATCAATTACTTTATTAAATAAAACATTTACTACCTGTTCCATTTTTCTGCCACCAATTTTCAACATTTCAACTGTAATCTTATCCTCTCCCGGACATTTATTCGTTTTAAGTTGATTTAGGGCCATTCTTATTTCATAGTCGGTTATGTCCGGTATTTCTTCTGAGCCGGTGTTAATTATTGTTCGTTGAGTACGTCGTTGTTGTGGTTGTGTATTTACCGAGTATAGTTTAGTGTAGAATTTTTCAATGGCCTCGCTTATTTCCTTTCTGTCTCTGACGGTGACGTTTTTCTCATTTTTTATTTCTATGATTTTTGTTGTGCCGCTTGAGTTTTTTGCTTTGAGTACTTTCATGTTGCAGTTATCTTGTATTATATTTTTTATTAGATTGTTATTATAGTTTCTATGATCGTTCCTGATTTCTTTCTTCACATTTTTGTTTAAACTTTTAAAGCTGTCCGAAGTTCGATCTGTTCTGTTTCGTCTTTCCTGGAGTAGTTTAATTGTATTAGGTTGGAGTTTAGATATTTTTTCTGTTTTCGTGTTTGAGCAAATTTTCTTAACCGATGTTGTTACAGTTACTTTTATTTTAGTGGCTAGTCCGTTTATATCCAATTGTTTCAGTGTCTCTATTGATTTTAGTCTTGTGCTTAGTTCTTTTTGGTATTCCGTTTGTTTTTGAGACAGGACATCGGTGGTTGGGTATCGTTCTCGTTTAATAAGTTTGCTTCGTTCTACTCTCGTCTGTATTTTAATGTTCGCTCTAACCAATCTATGGTCACTCCCGGTATAGAATTTGTTTAGTACTGTCACGTCGGTGCATATGTTTTTGTTATTGGAGAGTATGTAGTCTATTTCGTTCTTAGTTTTCTTGTCTGGGCTAATCCATGTCCATTTACGTTGTTTAGATTTTTTAAAAAAAGTGTTGAGACAAAATAAATTTTCGTTGTTTAAGTAGTTGTACAACATCTCACCCCTTTCGTTTCTGTTGTCCAGCCCAAAGCGACCGATATATTGTGTGTCGCCGTCTTCTTTTGTACCAATTTTTGCATTAAAATCTCCTGTGATTATTACGAAGTGTGATTTTTCTTGGTTCCTTGCTGTTGTCAGATCCTCGTAGAATGATTCAGCTTCCTCGTCTGTTGAGTTTCCTGTCGGTGCATATCCATGTATTATCTGTAAGCTGTATCTGCTGTTTAAAGCGATGACAAGATATATGACTCTGTTTGATACAGCACAGTACTTCGTTATGTTATAGGGAGTTCGTTTGTTTACTAGGAACGCTACACCGCCTATGTGATGATTTTCTACGGAGTTTTTCTGGTATAGTTGGTGACCAGATTTTAAGATGGTACATGCTTCTCCTGGTAAGCGAGTTTCGCACAGTCCAATTATATCCCATTTGATATTTGAGAGCTCTTGTTCTAGTTCTTCAAGGTGTTCTTGGGTCCTCATAGTTCTTATATTGTAAGTGGCTATACCAAGCATATGTCATATAATCAGTTAGAAAACTCCAGTGCTACGGTTAGTATGTAAAAATAATTTTTCGAATAGGGAATTGTGGTTTCTGGTTAGTAATCCAATTACATCGGCATTTTGCCATATGATTCATTACTTTTAGGTTTGTTTTTTTTTATTTAAACCCAACCACTATTTGGTTTTGCGGTTATTGTCGCAAGTACTGCCAATTTAAAAGTTTACTGAACATGAACTGACTAGTCCAAAACCGTTCTGAATTTTAAATTAATACATTTGAATTTTTTAATTAAATATTCCACTTACTACAGAAGCTTTTTGCTTGGATGTTGTAGTTTTTTAACAAATATGGTATACAGCCAACTCATGGAAATTATCCCTGGAAAGGTTGAGAACACCCAGGTTAGCCAAATCTACCAACCAATATCTAACGAAATTTAAAATTGTGAAGTTTGGCAAAGCAAGAAAATGAGTCGCGCTTCTATTGTGCTTATTTTTTATTTTTTTTTTTCCACCTACTTAGGTGGACATTGATTTTGTCTTTTACTGAAAAAATATGATGCCCATCCACTTGGGTGGTTGAGTTTCAACCTACTAATATTTTGGTTTCTCCACAAAAACCGAATGGTATTTGTAAATTTTTCTACGACAATAAAATAAAGAAAATAGAGCTGTGGTACTCCTTAGCAGTTTAAAATATTTTGTCTTGGCACCAGCGAGCGGTACTCATGTCCACCCAATTTGGTGCACGTGGCACTTAACCTCTCAAATGACTGATCTATATATTACTTATCTTTCTCCATCTCCAAATATTTCTTTTTTCTAGCTAGTCTGCTAGACAAGATTTATGGCATTGTAAAAATTTGGTCTATTATTTAATATGGCATGCACTTTCTTGAAATTAAAAATTTTATAGATAGATTTCATAAAATAGAATTTTTTGTTGTGGACAAATTTTGATAATTCCTTTATGAATGATCTTACGATAAAAATGCATCACTAGAAAGTTAAGAACAGACTTAGGACGTAGGCATAGAAAGAATAATATTTAAATTTTGACCTTTTACTGCCTTTAACATAAGCCTGACTTGATAAGAACAAGAAAAAATTTAAAAATTATACAAAAACAATAGCTTATGATTTATTTGTATAAAATAAAACAATTTTTTAATAATTTTTTCGTTTTAGAATAACGATCAAAAATGCCAAGTTACAAACTTACTTACTTTAACTTCACTGGAAGAGCAGAGCCAATAAGAATACTCTTGCATTATGGTGGAATCCCTTTTGAAGATGTTCGCGTCGAGAAAGCTGATTGGCCAGCCGTAAAACCAAGTAAGATATTACAGTGCCTTTGCAAAAAATTTTTGTTTGTTATTCTTTTAAGATATGTATATTTAACGGGAAAATTTATTAAACTAAAACATATATATATATATATATATATATATATATATATATATATATATATATATATATATGTATATATATATATATATATATATATATATATATATATATATATATATATTGAAATGATTTTAATATGTTAAAAAGGATACAACTTAAATGGATTTTTATATGAGTTTGTTGTTCATGAATTTCATGAAGCCATCACAATGTGGGTTCGACTCTGAAATAAAAGAGAGAAAAAGATTAGTAAATTGTTAAATCAATTAATTTTGACTTACCTGGTATAGTGTTAATAATTTCTGAATAGTATAGTTGCCTAGTGTATAGGTGAATCGTCTAAACTTTAAAAATAGAATTCTTAAAAAATATTTAAACATAGAAATTTTAAAAACGTCAGAAGTTGGTTGTTGTTAGTAACGGATAATAATGGGTTTTTTTGGTGGAAGCCGATGAGAGTTTTTCGACGAAGGGGAGCCCTGAAACTATGGAATAGGTCGGGAGTGTTTTTTAACTCGTCTAATTAAAATTTTAGATTTTCCACAGTTTCCACAGCAGAGATATCCAGAATTTGTTCCATAGAGTAAGAGAAACAATTTGACTTATAAATTATATTGGAATATAGAAATGTCATTTAAATTGAGAAAATTAAAATTCATAAATTGACATAATTGCGATAGGCCTTAAAAATAGAATAGTACGTACCTTAACTTCCGAAGAGAGGATTGATATTCCAGTTTCACGATCATTTTGCGAGTAGTTTGTTCAATATTAATAATTAACGTGCTTCATTTGGGTTAATTTATCAAAAGTCTAAAGTAAATTTTGGTTTAATTTGTTTTGAACTCTACCAGGAGACTACAGAGTCGACGTCACACAGTGACAGATTGCTTAGAACACATAATTGAGCTAGCCGAGTATTAAATTAAATATTAAACGAATATTAAATTAAACAAAAAACCACATATTTTAAAAATTTCAACATTTATTATAAATAAAAATAAAATTAATAAAATACAACATTTTCAATATATATATATATATATATATATATATATATATATATACATATATATAATATATATATATATATATATATATATATATATATTTATATATATATTATATATATACATATATATATATATATATATATATATATATATATATATATATATATATATATATATTATATATATATATATTTATATATATATATATACATATATATATACATATATATATATATATATATATATATATATATATATATATATATACACTTATATCTTGCCGTACTGCTCCACCATAGGCCGATCAGACACCAGCATATTCTAGTCTAAGCCGTAGATTCATTTAGAATTTTAAACTGCTGCGTTAGCCTTTATTTCTTTTCTGTACATCGAGCTGGGGATCGCACTCACATCCACTGAACCACTCGCAGTGAAGCGAATGAGAAACCGGCCGCCCAGCCCGCTTGGTTATCTGACCGACCGAACTAAAAGATACATGTTTTAATTATTTTGTGAAAGTGGTCTCTCTGGTTCAGATGTGAAGATATCCGCATTATATGGATTTAAAATAAGCTATAAGAACATTAAATTGATATAAGGTTGAATGCTCCAATAAATGAACTTTGATCAAATGAAAAGGCAGATATCGAGCACAGTTTTATTAATTAAATCTTGTCCAAGTACTTTAGCTTCCTAAAGCATCTTTAGGGGCATTTCGTTAATTTTGGCCTATCCAACAATCTGTGGAGAATGCCATAAACATAAAATTGTAGATTATACTACACTACAAGGACAAACAGTTTAAAATAAAAAAAAATTAAATAAAAATCTAAAACCCTGTAGATTCGGAGTACATAATATTCAAAATAGGGAAGTGGGACAGACATATCCCACTCATCGGCTAACTTAGCTGATAAATATACTACATGCGGTATATTTAAAATTTATTTTTTACTTTTTTAGGCACACCATTTGGACAGGTACCAGTTTTGGAAGTAGACGGAAAGAAATACACGCAAGGAACACCCTTGGCTAGATACGTAGCTAATGTTGTGGGTTTAGTAGGAAAATCCAATGAAGAAAATTTGGAAATCGAAATTGCAATTAATATTGTGTCAGACATCCTGAAAGGTGAGTATGTGATTAATTAATTAACTGTAACTAATTATATTCAAGTACTTAAAATTATAAACTTACAATGGGATAGTTACCAGGAGTTGGCTGTATACCATGTTAGTTAAACAACTCGAACATCAAAGTAAGAACTTTTGTTGTAAGTGGTATAATATATAATTAAAAACTTATATAAATAAAACATCCAAACGGATTATAATAAAGTCCGGAATGGTTTTGGAGTAATCAGTTCATCTTTATTGAACCTAACACTAAGTTAAGAATAACGTGAATTTAAAATTTTGACTGTTACAGTCAAAAATCTGGTTAAGATTACTTTCTTAACCACATTTTTGAAGTACTTGCATAAATAACCGCAAGACCAAACATTAGTTGGGTTTAGATTAAAAATAACATACTTCACAGTATTAAATTATATGTTACCACTAACCGGTAACCATATGTCCCTAATCGAAGTAGAACTTTTACATCTGCATGTATGCACGGGAGTTTTCCATCTAAATTTGGAAATCTTCTTAACGTGCCGTATCAAGTCCCCTTGACGTTGACGATTAATATGGCGAAACTGTCTCTGTCTCGAGTTATTCTAAAGAGTTGCTCAGCTTTTCTTATTCCTGTCCACTCCCTGATATTCTTCAACCAAGAGGCCTGCTTTCTACCAATTCCTCTGCGTCCTTCGATTTTACCCATCATAATAAGTTGAAGAATATTATATCGGTCTCCCCTTACTAAGTGTCCAAAATAGGCCATCTTTCTAAATTTGATGTTATCAAGCAGCTCGCGAGCAGCATTTGCTCTCTCAAGGACTGCCATATTTGTCAGCATAGCCGTCCATGAAATTTTTAGTATACGTCTGTGCAGCCACATTTCAAAGGCCTCCAGACGATTAATGGTGGATATTTTTAATGTCCATGCTTCGACACCGTATAAGAGGACTGACCAAATGTAGCATTTGTAACATAATAATTTGCTGTTTCTATGACAATGACGTTCCGGGCCTTGATTGATAGTTCGTTTTAGAGATCAAGGTCCTATCTGTCGATATCTGTTGATATCTATAGATATATTGATATCTATATTATGATATCTATGTTGTTGTTTTATATAATTAGTTTATGAAATTTGAAGACAACAGTTATTATTATTTTCATCAGTTATTTGTATGTTATGAATTAACTATAAAATTAAATTGATTAGTCCTATTTAAGACTGGCATTAGGAAAAGACAGAAAGAATAAATTATGTCATCATACGACAAAGGAACTGAATTAAAAATGAGATGTTCGGTTGAATAATATAGGCGATTTATCTTTTAGACCAATGATGTGAGATTTATAAGTAGATTAGAGATGAATTAAGTAATATGAGGAAAAATGTTTTGAAGTTTTTAACTGAAAGTAAGATGTAAGGTTGGTTGTATATGTCTGAGGGAAAGCTGAATTGTATTTACAGATGATAATGTAAAGTTGTAAAATTGTAAAAAGGTTAATTTTGTTTGAAAACGGTAGAATTAAAAAAGTAGTAATGAAAAAGCAACATCATGGTTCCTGAAGTAGAGGTGTGTCCGTTCAATGTATAATTGTGAAATCATATATACTTTGATATAAAATTATTAATTGTCTGACAAACTGTAATTTTAAACTAAATGAATTTATTAATAAAGTCTTTTTACCATACGACGGCCGATATGCAATTAAGGTATGATCAGTGGGGCGTTAATATTTAATTCCGATCGCTTGAAAAGTAAAAATGTTTAATTTCCTCCATTTTATGTTTAGTTATATTATTGGATTTTAATATCAAAGGCAAATAAAATTAATATAATATGTACATAAAGGGCGTGTTACAAGAAGTGGGACGGAATATTTCGAATACTCGAAATTATTTGTCGACATCAAATGTTCATCAAGCTCTCTATAAGTCTGTATTCTGCGAAGAGTAAAAATTATACGAATGGTCTTACATGTAGTAAAATTGGAAAATACTGTCAAGTTGCTGGTATGTCCAAATTTGAAGAAAATACATCCAATACTTTAGGTACTTTCTGCAGACACTGTATTAAATATAACCTTGAAACAAATTGGCACCAAATCACTTTCGAGTTTTCAGCAAAACAAAAGGTTTAAACACGTGTAGTCCAGTAACTAATACCAAAGCTATTGAGAGTATGCAGTCCAGTATAGACCAAAGGTACTTTATCGTTTAACTAAAACACACCGAACTCCGAATTGAATTCCCGAAACACTTTTTTGTTACTTCTTTTTAGCAAACGATTTGTCCTATTCACTGTCTGGTATTTCACTATCAGAATAGTCACTATCTGAATTGTCTATCCGTATAATTAGAGGCCGGACCTCATCTATAACTCGCTTGGTTTGAAAAGACTAAACGATTATATCTTCCGTATGTTTAATACAATTTTGCCATTGTTCTGTCTTTATTTTTGTTCTAGCGATTCTTTTCATAAACTAAGAACGCTAGCGTCATCTGTTGTTTTGGATGTATGTTTATCATAAAAATTTTTGGCTATAACCCAAACTAACTCAATTGTCGAACAACTACAAGGCTATATTTAAGAGCCATTTGGTCAGTAACTAATTTCTTTGAATTTTGTGCTCTCCATACCTTTGAAGTAAACCGACTTTTAAAAATATGTCACTGTGATAAATTTTCTTTTCTATCAACCACAACTTTATTTCTTCTTTTGTCCAGCTGCTTGAAGGAAATCTCTCTTCTACTCTTGAGTGGTAGGATGTATTATCCAACACTATTATGGATGGTTGCTCCAATTTTTAACAAATTTTATTCAAACCATTCTTCAAAAATATTTGCATCCATATTTCCATGAAAATCACCTGTATTATTTGTGGACGAAAAAATTAAACTAGAGTCAGGAATAAAACCCTTATCGTTTCCTGCATGTAGTATAAGGTAGCGTTTACCATTACCGGAACGACTAGAACAATATTTCGTGATGCCATCTTGCCAGGATGATTTTGACATATTTTCTTTAGCGAAAATCCAAGTTTCATCTAAAAATACAACTTGCCTCGGAGTATCAGACGTTTTATTGTTCATGTATTTTTTTAAAAAATGCCACCATTTTAAAACAACATTATAGAGTTCACTCCATACTTGCTATTTTGTTATTTTATATCGAAAACCTAAATGTTTCAGCACTCTCCACAAACTTCACAAACCAATATCACATATACATTCCACGACCATCAATTGATTTTTAACGATTAACAGAAGTGTAATATAATGACAAGTAAAATATATCCGACAAATAAAATGACAAATATATCCGACTAGTAAAAGCAACGATGGACTCCACAATAGCAACTGTACGCATACAGTACGAATTAACTGACAGCTTCGAAATAGTTCAAGGGCTGAAACAAGGTGATGGACTAGCTCCAACACTGTTCAATCTGGCCCTTGAATATGTCATCAGAAAGCTGAATGTCGGAAGAGCCAATCTCCTAACAAACAAATCTGTCCAGCTCGCCGCATATGCGGATGACATTAACCTCATGTCCCGCAGAGTGGATGATGCAGCAGAAACATATTCGCAGCTGAAAAAAAAACGGCCAAGGAGATTGGACTTGAAATAAATACACAGAAGACAAAAATACTAACACAGACGCGGACAAAGCGAACAAGAAATCAAATCAAAGTAGAGGATGACATTGAAACAGTGAAGAGTTTTACTTATCTGGGAGTCGAAATGAATACGGAGGGAACAGAAGAGGCCGAAATTCAGAAGAGAATAATGAAGGGAAATAAAGCCTATTTTTCCCTGATTAACATATTCCGCTCCAAGACGGTACATCGAAAATCGAAACTTAAGGTCTATAAAACTATCATCAGACCGATAGTATGCTATGGATGCGAGACATGGGTTTTGACAGAAAGCACTAAACGAAAATTAGAGGTTTTCGAGAGAAAAATCCTAAGGAAGATCTTTGGACCCATCACTCAAAATGGGACGTGGAGATCTAGATATAACCATGAACTCTACCAACTGTTCAAAGAAGCACCTATTGCAGAGTTCGCTAGAGTACAAAGGCTTCAATGGGCTGGTCATGTGGTACGGATGGATGACGACAGATTGCCGAGAAAGGCCTTGGATGGTAAAATGCAGGGCAGAAGACCAAAGGAAAGACCACGTAATAGATGGGAGAACGAAGTCACAGCAGATGCACACAACTTATTGAACGTCAGGGCTTGGAGACGAGTGGCGCGGGATCGCCTTTGTTGGAGGCAGAAGTTACAGGAGGCCAAGGCTCAATTTGGGCTGTAGCGCCATTGGAAGAAGAAGAATATAATGACAAGTTTGAATTTGATCTACTTTATCGATAACAGTGTCGTTAACAGAAAAGTATTTTTAAATAGCATGAATCATTTTTCAATGATTGTGTGGATTTAAGAAATACATTACTAAACAAATTTTTAAAGTTTGTATAAAGGAGATTACATTTATTATGACACATGATACTCCTTATTTTTTAAATAATATGTTCTTGTAAAGGCATAATCTTGATTATTTGGCAAATAAAACGCAACACGCAAACGCATACTATCGCAATAAAATATTAATACAATAAACGATAGCTTGTTAAGTAGTAAAATATATCGCCGCTTATCTGGTTCGCTAGTAATTAAGTTACCAGCATTTAATTGTAATGTGGTCTTCTTAGGCACAAAATACTTTATAAAATTGTTTCATCACATACTTATGACATTTCACAAAACAACAGATAATTTTTTTTATGTATCCAAGACGTATCATCGAACCAGAGAATAATAAGTTATATGGAAATACTCAATCATAACCTCGCTAATTAGTTTGTTATTCTAACTACATATATATATATATATATATATATATATATATATATATATATATTATATATATATATATATATATAAATTCTGAAAATATATCATAAAAATTTTACGCTTGTCAAATTTTATTTTATCCATTCCCAAAAATTTTAGCATATAAATTATAGTTAATTATATCACCTAGCTAGATAGGTATTTCAGTTAGGTGGTACCAAAAATAGTAAAAAGAATTTTGTGCTAAATGACTTAAAAAGGTTGAGAACCACTGCTCTAACTCTATATCATTTACTCCAATAAATAAATTTTACGTCGGCTATTTTATTCCGGAAAGCATATAGAGTTTCATGTACAGAAATTTATTAAAAACCACACTGTTTCACTCATCTTAGGCGTCAGCCTGTCCGACCACTAAAATCTGATTAAGAAGAGGTATTAATCGATATATCAACTTGGTCATTTTACATCTCGCACGTGCTGTAAACCCGGTGTACAATAGATATATATGGACATTTGAAATAACAAAAATTGCCGGATAGCCAAATTTTGGTGGAGAGCTAGGGTATACCATAACAAATAAATTTTTAACAGTAACCATCGATCCCATATGTGCAAACAGAAGTTATTCGGGTGTCAAAGGTCAAAATTTAAGATTTTTTTGGATTTTTTTTATAAAAAAAACATTAAACCGAAGTTGTAGTTCTTAAAATTCTATACAAAAATAGTCCTTACTATTTTTTTTCTAAAAGTTGCCATTCCTGAAATATCGCGATTCTAAGAGTCACATTCTACATGATATATGCACACGTTTGCACACCACTTGTGTAGGTATTACCTTATTATTGATATTGCTTTTTAGTATTAGGTTAACTATTGTTTTGATTTCTTTAGATATTTTAATCTAATTCATATTCTTGAAAGTCCACGTCAACAGTCAAATCTTCGATTTCATCTTCTTCCTTCTTCCTCTTGCTGGATGTTCAAAAATTGTTCAAACGTGGCTGAGTTATTTTTCTCTTCATTAAAATCACAGGAGTCTTCCTGTGTTGTACTTCTGGTTCTTCGTGAGACTAGGATTACTCCTGTTTGTCTGCCTCTTATTCCGTTTTGATCGTTGTTGACTGTACATTATCTTTCCATCTTTTTGGCGGCCTTCCAACAGGTCTTCTGCTATACGGTTTGTTGTTTTTACAGATGTTCGCTAATCTATCTGGTCCCATTCGGTTTACATATTCGTTCCAGTTTTTTTTTTCTTGTTTTTATCCACCTGTTAATATTTTGAATTTTGCATTGTTCGCGTATACTTCTGTTGGTTTGTCTGTCTAGTAATGATATGCCCGCTATTGATCTTAATACTTTCATTTCGATATTCTTGATTTGTTGTTTTCGTCTCTCTTGTATCGATCCTTGTCTCCTCTGCATATGTTAGGATTGGTCTTACTGTTGTCTTGTATACTTTTATATTGCTTTCCGTGGTTAGATATTTGTTTCTCCATATGGTTTCTCGGATTCAACCATTTACTCTTGCCGCTTTTGATGCTTGCCTTGTGGTCTTTGTTGTTATATCTCTACTAGTCACTAGTGATCTCTACTCCTAAATAATTGAATTTCATTACTTGTTCTACAATTTTGCCGTCTATTTCTAGTTTGCATCTACGCGGCTCTTTACTGGTCACTGTGCATTTAGTTTTTTCTACTGATATTCCCATATAAGTTTGTTTGCTGTGATATTGAAGGTGTGAAGCTGCCTTTGTTGCTTCTCTCTTGTACTAAATCGGACATTTGAGCAAGACTGACCTTGGGATTTAAAAAATTTTCATAATTATTTAATTTTGGATATAAAAGATGTGAAATTACCGATGGTGTTAAAGGTCATGTTTGAGAGAATGCCTAATGCACACGTCATTCTCTTAAACATGACCTTTAACACCATCGGTAATTTCACATCTTTTATATCCAAAATTAAACAATTATGAAAAATTTTTAAATCCCAACACCTGGATTGCTGTTATTTGTTTATCATCATCAAAGTTTTTGAATCTTTTGGCTGTAGTAATACTATGTATAACTAATATTGTATCATGGTACATTGACATTTTGTTTTCGATACCGTTCATAGGTATCTTGTCAATCAGTTACCAGCTGAAGTCCGTTGGAAGAGGTTTACTCTCCGAACGCTGGAACTCACCTAAGACATGGGTGTATGTTACCTAAAGTTAAATTTAATTTAATGTCAAACATCAAATATTAATTACAACATTATGTACAATCTTTTGTAACCTTAAGTATTTTAAAGGGTTTTTACCCCGATATTTTGGTGGCTCAGGCATGTTAACTTGTAAGTATAACCATTTTTGCCTTTTTTAACCTTAGTCAAAATTTTAAACCACGTTTGCTTTAACTAAAATGCTTTTTTATACTTATTGTAGGCATTTTTAAACCTGATGATGGAATAATTATTCCAAAAACATTTGTGTAATTTGATGTGGCCCTTTTAAGGGTTTTTTAAATATACCCGTTTACACAGATCTAACTTCTTTTTTTTTAAGTTAAGTGTCAAAATTAAAAATTACAAGAAATCAAAGAAAAAATATATAATTGTTTATGGAAATTCTGCTTTACAATACACCAATAAAAGACCTTCACATGGCGCGAAGGACTTTTTTCTTACTTTTTTCAATACACGACACCTCTCACACTTTCACTAATTGAAACTAAAATCAATTCTTTTAGAACATCATAACGCAATTTTACTTCCACATTGTATTAAATTGAAAACGAAAAAAGATACCCTCAGTCAGTTAAACCCAAATATTTTTTCATACAATCTCTCTATGCTACACGAAACTAATTTAATTTTTCTTTTTAGCTGCCTACGAATCTCATTTCGACCCTGATGAAGAAAAAAAGAAACAACACTTAAAAACCTTGCATGAATTGCTTGCTAAATATTTCCCAGTTCTTGATGAAGCTGCTAAAAAGAATGGAGGCCATCTTGGTACTAACAAGGTAATTTTAATATAAATACATACATATATATATATATATATATATATATATATATACATATATATATATATATATATATATATATATATATATTATATATATATATTATATATATATATATATATATATATACATATATATATATATATATATATATATATATATATATATATATATATTTATATATATATATATATATATATATGTATTGGGGAAATCTGCAAAGATTAAATTTCTTTTCTCTCTCTCTCTCTATATATATATATATATATATATATATATATATATTATAATATATATATATATATTGAACCTAAAACTAAGATTAAGAATATTACAATAATTACTATTAAACTCAACCGTCTTTTGGGTTGAACTGCATCGATTGTCAGTGCGCTAAGCTTTCGCCGTCCTCTTTGATGTGTTCGGGGTTTCCTAGGTCTTAGACTCCCGAGCCCCAAGACACTTCTACACTGACCACTAACCAATGTATTACTCAGCAGTTGACTTATATGTTGACTAACATTTTATATACTCACTGTAGACATAATAAAAACAGTATGCACATATATATATATATATATATATATATATTATATATATATATATATATATATATATATATATACACTGACGCAGACTGACAGAGAACACTGACACAAAGTAGTCCTACCATCTCTTTCTCATTGGTCGTTTAAGTCACCACAACAACCACGCATCTTTTCAGAGCAGAAGTGTGAAAAATACAGATTGCCATGATGGTTGCCAAAATCCAAACGGATAAGCAGTTGATAACGGATAAGAAAAAGAAGATGGTCGTTCATTGTTAATTTAACAAAATTAGTGATTGTTCCATTTGTTTTGTGTATTTTAATTTTGATGTCATGCTCAGTTATTGTTTTTCAAGAAAAGGTTGTGTATTTGAGTTGTTGTATTCAATATTCTGTAAAACTTTTCTTTTATGTTATAGGTATTATTACCATAATACCTATTTAAAGCCTTGTGTTACAATTTAAAATCTCTTGACTTGTGACAAATGATCATGTTATAATATAGTGCAAACTTGGTGAGGCAAAATGTGGATATCCCACCTAATCTTCTGATATAATTATTGGATCATTGACATAGCAAAGGATTTTCAATTCTGTTAATCTATTCTGTATACTTTAGTTGTTTTTGCTTACTGTATAATTTTGTCCCTCATTAAAGTCAACAAAATAGGACTAAGGAATCCCTTTGTCTCTTGCTTTGTTTTAATGCAGGTGGTTAAATAAATTAAAACTTATACGAATAACTCTGGAGGGTTCCAAAGCTATGGTGAGAAAAGATGGAGATATGACGCAGGCCTTTGATATTGAAAATTGAGTTAGACAAGGTGGTGCCTTAGTAAACGGCTGTTTTAATATCTGAAAAAGTTATAGAACTGAAACGACAAGCTGCCACGTTTGGTCTATATATAATAGAAAGCAAAACAAAATATATATGGAGTGCACAAAATCAACATGAGAATCTCAAGGTAGACAACCATACCTACAAATACGCCTCACTTTTCCCTGCCTAGGCTCAATAATAAATGACAACAACATCAGTCAAGAAGTACAAGCACGGATTCTCAGCGGTAATAAATGCTTTTATGCATACAAAGGCTTAATGAAAAGTAAGTTACTGAATCGTGAGTCTAAGCTTAGAATCTACATAGGAGTAAACAGAAAATCAACTGAGAATATTTAAGCGCAAAATACCAAGGAAGATATTTGGACCAACCCAATGCAGCGATGGTTCGTGGAGAATTGAACGGAACCACAAGCTAGATGAACTAATGCAGAGCGCAGATATTGTTAGGTTTTTAAAGTCACAAAGACAACTAACTTGGTTGCTTTGAAAGAATGCCAGATAATCGAACTGTAAAAGTAGTCCAGAGATCAAAGCGCCAAGGAAACAGAATAGGACTAAGGCGCCGTATAAGATGGATAGACGACGTAGGGAGGGATCTTAAAACCATGAACATCAGGCAGTGGCGAAGGAAAGTGTCCGACAGGGCGGGATGGATGAACATTGTTAAGCGGGCCAAGACTCAAAAAGGGTTGTAGCGCCATTAGAAGAAGAATAAGAAGGTTAAATAAATTACATTGTTGTTGTTGTCGAAAGTTAGAATGTTGGAGACTGTATGTTGCAGGTTGCCTTCGAATTTAGTAGCTGGACATTCGAAGACGATGTTGATTGTTTGTTCAATGAAACTCCATTTATCACATGCCGGGTTGCCGGTAGTACCCATTGGTTTAGCAATTTGTTACATACTCCATCCATGTCTGTTGTATTTTATTCAGATTGCATCTTTGATGGCGAGGGAAAAAATCCGTTTGGTATGATTGTGAAGTTCATATTTCGTCAATCTTTACTCAATTCGTCGATCCAGTGCTCCTTAGTAATACAATTGGTCATATCAGTAACAGATTTTGTTGGCGGTTATCTTAATTTAGTCTTCCTTAACCTGTTGCCATTTTTCTACATTTTGAAGTGCCGTTACTCATCTTGTTTAAGGTAGAGTAATTTTGCTTAGAACTGGCAGTTATTACTAGTCTTACATCATTTAAAAACGTCTATCTTGACAGCGGAATTAAGTTAATAATAAGAATAATTATGCCCAAAGTTTTAATTGTGTTCCAATGTGAGGATTTAGTAAAGTTTTCGAAAATTTATCTTGTGGCATTGTTGAATTTAGCTTCGCTGGAAGATATCAAGTATGAGATCAGCAATGTTGATCAGCAAACTCAACCCATTCGACCAGTGTTGTTCTAGTACGTCGCATTGGTGGTATTCCCATCAAGGATGGTGGTTGTTGAAGTCTTCAATATATATTGGCAAAAAAGTAAAACTAGGGAGAACATCTGGTGGCCATCCAGCACACTGTGGTTTGTATATGTTGACAATAATTATTTTGTGTACTTTCACGGCAACTATAAAATCATTTTTGCTCTGTAATAGGTAGCAATACTGTATTGAGCACCAATGGAAGAGTCAGCTTTACACGCAATGTCGACTTTTCCATATAGTTAGTGTACCACATGTGGCAGCCACAACTCAGTGGCTATGGTAATGGTTTACCAATATAGGTTTTTTGATCCATAGACTTCAAAAATTTTTCAATTTCTAATTAACCAAACATTCTTAGGAGGTCACGTGTAAGTATCGGTACCAGCTACTTAATTAGTCGATAACACTAAAGTCTGAACCAGAAGTTTACACAATTACGCAATAATTGTAGTATATGGATCTAAATTCAGAAAGGTACTTTCCTTCATACTTTTTACAGGCTAAGGACTGTCACCAAAAAACTGGCGTGTTTAAAAGTTTTTGCTCTTCTTAATCGGATATCGTTAAAAATGTACAGTAATAATAGTTCTATTTACAGTATATACATACAAACGAATACGTAATGTACAAAAAATATATAAATTGAAAAAATATATATATATAGAAAAATATATACAAGTTAATATTTATAAAAAAAATACCCAAAATAACCAAAATATATTTATGAATTCCTAAATACCTAATTCTGTTTTGCTGTCGCTATCCTCTTCAAGATTAGTAACAATTGGTTTAATTATGTGATTCAAAGTAACATATGAATTTTCTACGTTCATTACATGGCGTACTGAATTTTTCCAACTTTCTGGGGAGATATCATCAACACATTTTCCTATTAATTCGACTATACTACCACTTAAAGTCGGAGAAACATTTTGTGACCTAACATTTGACTTTAGTTGGTGCCACATATGCTCTATGGGAATAAATAAACAATGGTGGGACGGAAGCCGTAACACTGTATGTCCCATGTCCTCGGCCAATGCGTCAGAAACATATACTTTTTTAATAGAAAATGATTTTAACACTTCTAACAGTTCATTTTTTAAATAACTTTCTTCAAAATATATATCATTTTTTAACAGGTAGTTTTGAATTTCAATTTTCGTGTTATTTGGACCTGGAGACTTATGCAGGAAGGTTAGGTATAAGACAATTCTTAAACCATTGCTCAAAAAGCTCTGCCGTTGTATCCTCATGGTAGTCCACGCAGGAGTCTTTAATGTTTTTTGCAGAAAGCCATAAGACATTTGGGAGCCAACCATTTTCTGATCCTGAATGTAAAATTATTATTATTTTCCCTTCGTTTGATGGAGCTTTTGTTTGACACCTGTAGGAAGATTTTTAAAGCCCATTTTAGACAAAATCCTCCAAAGACTAATGCGGCTACATTCGTGTATCATCATTAGTAAGCCGTTGTTTTAAAGCATCTAATGTGGTTAATGTTGTGTAAATTTTTCGTCTTATTAAGATCTTATCACTTTCGTCAATACATTTGGTAGAACCGGCATCCTTACACTTCCTTCTTGACTTTATGGGATTTGATGTAATTCTTTTCACTGTGCTTAGAGGTATTTTCGTTAAATCAGATATTTTACTGGCAGCAGTATTAGCAGTAAGTCCTGTTGTAAGTAAAGAACTATCTATTGTTTTTACGATTTCTCTAGCGTCAGCAGATAAATGCTTTTTCTTTGCTGGAACACTGGAAGAAGCACCATCAATATTTTTCCACGGACGCCACGTAATGCTGTTTTATAGGTATAAATAGGTATAACACTTGTAACACTTGTAACACTTTCAACTAAATGAAACAAAATGTATAAATATACAAAAATTTCTCATCGGTTTTATATACTTTTACAAATTATACAGAATAGAGGGAACCTGTATAATTATTCCAGGAAATACTTAACGATCAACAAATTTATTGTGGTCATTAAAAGATCAACCATTGATCGTGAAACTTCTGTTAAAATGTTTACAACTTTATGAAATAAAATGTATTCTAATCGTTTTTATAATTTTATACGATTTTTTAATTGTTTTTATATTACCAGGAATTTATGATACAAACAAGCTAACGACACTCCACAGTAGTTTCAATTTTACCTGAATACTTACCTGCTCAACTAATGTTGACTAAGCTAGGGTACTTATGGTCGGGTTTTATTGCAATCATTAAGTACTCAACCATTTTTCGTGAAATAAACTATACATAAATCAGTTTGTTCTGAGTCATTCCTGCTCTTCTCGTCTTTCTCCTAATATTGTTTTTTCGCTTGTTTTTTGTTATTATCTTTGTTATTGTTTTGTAAGTAATGTTTATCAAATTTATTTTATGTTAGTTATTTGGGTCTTGGCAATTTATCTATCAAAAACTTACAATTGTTCCTCAGCATTCATTAGGAATTATAATTTTTGTAGTGATTATCTACATCAGTACTTATATTTTTAAAAGATTCACCTGCTAGAGTCGACTGCATTTTTACCTCAGATATCTTTGGTATCTAAACATTTCCATTTACTCGTCTTTATTTCTAGATCCCGATATATACCTATCTGAAATACATTGTGGCATTTTTTTACTCACTTTTTGTGTTTATTTTTTAATGGTAGTTTTAACAATTTTAAAGGTATTGATTTTTTCTTTTTAATTTAAGCAAAAAATTATTATCTCACAATTTTTTTGTTTTAGCTTAATTGGGGAGATATCTACTTTGTAACGGCTTATGAAGATATTAGAAACATACTGGGAAATAAAGACATTGTCGAAAACTATTCCGGATTACAGAACCTGAAGAAGAATGTCATCTCAGAAAAAAATATTAAGGAATATATTCAAAACCGACCAAAAATACCAATCTTTGTATACGATTTGAGAAGCGAATTGTAATTTTTTTAAGGCAATGCAAAATGAAATAAATGTTTTTGTCATATACACTTAAAACATATACGTATTCTCTATCAGTATAGTGCTTTCACTAAAAAATATATACCAATTGCAAATTTTTGTTACTATTTTATTTTTTATTATAAATAAAAAACATTTCCTCTCCAATATTTAATAGTTTTTCTTATTTTACAATTTTTCCTTGGACCCCATTCACTTTTATGGGATTAGCAGCAAAATGTAGTGTAAAAGCAATAGAAAATAGCTTTATGCCCGAACATATATGAGCGAATCCTGAAATTATTCAGTTATCTCATAATCCTAAATAAAATTAGGCTGCAATTGATTCCGACAAATAATTAGGTCATTGTTTATTTGTGTGAATAAAGACAATGGCTAGTTTTAGAAAAGAGTTCTCAGACGGGTCGTACCACAAGGAAAAATTATCACGAACAAGTTATTTAACAGTAGACAAGTTTTTGGAAGAGTAGAAAAACATTACGACAAATTGAAAATCTTTGTTAAAAACTGATTATTACATTATATTTAAGAAGTTTAGATGTGTTTGTTCTTGCAAAGGAATAGTTTACTCATGATTGAAAACTATCGGTTAGGATTAGTTGTATCAGTCGTGATTGATTCGTTCGTTTTGATTTAATCACTTCAAAGTATGGAACAACCGAAACCCGTTATAGTTGGACAGACGGAGACGAGCTCACTAAATTCACACAGGCGTATCCCCTTGAAGACAAAACAGCCAAATCAGCCGTCAATCATCTTATTGTCGTTTTCCAACACTATGGCAAACCATGACGCATACACTGTGACTAAGGACGTGAATTCGACAATGCTTTGATGAAAGATCTTTGTGAATTGTACGACATAAAACTAACCTTCTCAAGTGTGAGCCATCCACAATCTAACGGTTCTATCGAATGATTTCACGCAACTTTAAGCGAAATTATAAGAGCTAATCAAGCTGAAAATCCCGATGAACATTCGTTCAATATTCTGCTTTATGCAGTTATTTGCTACAATAACACAAAAAACAAAACCCACGGATTCACACCGTACGAACTCATTTTTGGACATACTGCTATTAGACCACCCGAAATACTTAACAATGAGAAAATCTTTATATCAAAGTATGTTAGAGACTTAAGTAATCGTCTGAAATATTTCTATAAAGTGGCACGAGCCAAAACAGAAAGACAAAAAGAAAAGGCTAAAGAAAGATTCGATCAACGCTTGTCATTAAACTCTCCAGAATATTAAATAGGTGATAAGGTTTGCATCAAGGAATCGCAAATTAAAGACAAAGCCCAAAATAAGTTTAATGGCCTTTCGAAATTCAAGAAATCCACCCAGTCATCCACTCCCAGTATACGTTAACCCCAATCAACAACACCACTGGAATCTTTTTTAATGAAGAAACCAATCTCAAATTTTCAAACGACAAATGGACCCTCCTTGAATATAAAGACATGCAACCAATCAGAGACGTTATCGACAAAAACGACAAAATCTTTTGTCGTTTTTCAAAAAAATTTATTGGATACCATTGAAGAAGATGTACCTCGAATGTTGGCATTCAAATCCGAAGTCCAAACTCACATAAGTCTTCTCAAACAAATCTCTAGTTCTGTTAATCTCAAATATACAGAAATAATGGCTGATACGAAACAATACACATTCCGAGAGAAACGTGGACTTATTAACGGAATAGGTTCGATATAAAAATCAATTACCGGCAACTTAGATTCGTCAGATGGCGAATATTTTAATGAATGTATAAATAAAATAACCCGCGATGAGTATCAAATCGAAACCTTATTGAAAAATTAAATATCGGTTACCCTTTCTGTTATTAAAAACTTTAACGCTGCAATCCAGAAATCACAAGTAGATGAGGAAACATTCAACAATAATATTAAGGAAATTCGAGAGTCAATAATGGATATCTCTGACCAATTAAAATTCTATCAATCTCAAATCGATATGCTAAACTTTTATGAATTACTAATGGAAAGCTATTCATTTAGCGAAGACTCTTCAAATGAAATAGTAAATGCCATAGCCTTTGCTCGATTAAAAATATTACATAGCTCAATCATCACCCCGTTTGATTTAATTGAATATCTTACGTATATACCACAATCATTACAAAAAATAATCTTTCATTATCAATTTATACTTCAAATCTAGCTCAATATCTCGATATTATCGAATTAGAAGTCTATCGACTAGACACAAGAATTGTGTTACGTACTTAATAACGTAATTGAGGTACGTACCAAAGATATGGAAGGTGGCAGAAATTATAATGACACTAAAACCAGGGAAACCTCCACAAGAAGCTTCTTCATATAGGCCTATTTCACTGTTACCTGTCATGTCTAAATTATACGAAAATTACTCTTGAAGAGACGAAAACCGATTATAGAGGAAAAAAATCTAATTCCTAATTATCTGTGTGGGTTTAGAGCAAGCCACTCAACGATAGATCAGGTGCATAGAATAACAGATATCATAGAAAAAGCTCTAGAAGAAGGAAAAGTTTGTTCCGCAATTTTCCTCGATGTAGCGCAGGCTTTTGACAAGGTGTGGCATGACGGACTATATCATAAAAATGAGATGCTACTTACCAAAACAATATTCTGAACTACTAGAATCATATATATCCGACAGATACTTTCGAGTTAAATATGAGGAAGCATATTCAGAATTAAGAGAAGTTAAAGCTGGAGTTCCACAAGGAAGTGTCCTGGGGCCAGTGCTATATCTGCTCTATACCAGCGATATTCCATCATTAGAACCTAACACAATTGCGACATTTGCAGACGACACATGCATTCTAGCAGTCGGACAAAACCACGAGGATTGCAGCTACCATGCTACAGAACTCTGTTGAACAAATTAACATCTGGACCAGCCGATGGCGTATCAAATTGAATGAAACAAAATCTGTTCATGTCAATTTTACTAACAAAGAGAACAACATATCCCAGTACATATAAATAGAAACCAAATACCTTATGCAAATACGGCAAAATATTTGGGTATGACGTTAGATTTCAAGCTACGTTGGAAAGCACATGTTAAGAAAAAAAAGGAGGAATTAAAAATTAAGTTCAGAAAGATGTACTGGTTGATGGGAAAAAAATCCACTCTGTCTATTTACAACAAATTGCTATTATATAAGCAAGTCCTTAAACCGATATGGACATACGGAATACAGCTATGGGGCTGTACAAAAGAAAGCAACATCCAACATATACAACGATATCAGAATAAAGTATTAAGGAACATCGTTAACGCTCCATGGTACTTTAGAAACTGTAATCTTCATCGAGACCTCCAGATGGATACAGTTATCCAGACAATAAGTAAGTTTGCCGAGAGTCATGAACAAAGGCTCTCCAACCACGTGAACGTCGAGGCCATCAAACTCCTAGACAACGCCAACCAGACAAGAAGACTAAAGAGAACGAAGCCGTTTGATTTAGTGCTATAAGTGAGTGAAAGTGAAAAAGCAGAGTAAAGTGCGGCTAAAGTGTACACGTTAGCTAGTAGTACTATAATGTATTAGAGCCTAAGGAATATTGCTGAATATAACCTTAGATAAGTTTCTTGTAATATTTATATATAGAACTAACTTGCTTATTGATCATAGTGAATGATCAGATAGCAATAGTCATAAGATTCCTGTTGGAGTTTTATTAAACAAAAAAAAAAAGAATTGTGTTTGTTTTAAATATTCCTTTAACTGATGCAGAACAATATACTTTATATCGTCTTTATCCAATACCAATACTCGACAATCGAACAGGTCTTCATTCAATATTAACAACACCACATAAATACATTGCGCGAAACGATGGTTCATTGTTATACCTTACAATAAATAGCCTTGAGTCATGCAAAACTTTGCGAGCCTGAACCAAGATCTGTTACATGCGATGTTATGCGATGCTTAACTTCTAAAACGACAAGAACGTCTTCCCCAGAACATACCAGACTTCCGTACTATTCGCCAAAGATTACAACGTCCTGAAGATCAACATGAACCTGTGGTTTATAACAGTTTCTGACGACTGCCTATTAACATTAAATGTGAGTCCAGGACGTCAAATCGGAAATTATTTACACAAACCATGTGCTCAAACTACAACCCACGTGCGATGCCTTTATTGGTAGTACAAGAGTACACTCTCAGAAATTAATCGACGTTCATGACAATGTTACTTACAGCAGTCACCCAGTCCAAATACGATTCAACTGCTGAAAACACTTTCCAGATAAGATCCAAAAAATTTGAGGATCTATCAACGATAGGATTATTTAAAACAGCAATAAATAAAATCACGTTGCCATATTGTTTGCCAATTTTCAGATATGCACGACAAAGAATAATTACTGTTACATATACCAAAATATTTTTTGTATATTTATAAATCGACAATTTATTATTATCTTTATACAATTTATGGCAGTACCCCCGTACATGATTCTTCTAATCCATTTATCTACTATGTATCAAAAATTCTCGAGACGGCCTTCAAAAAAACAACACGATTAAATTAAATGCATAGGTATTATACCCTCTATGCTTGGTTGTTGCCTTGTGTATTCAGTGTTAGAACTTGGAGACCGGTGAGACAGGTGTCTAATTTTTTCAATACCTCGTACCAGGTATGTAATTTTCATTAAATGACTGCTTAAGATTTTTATTAACATATATTTTATATTATTTATATTACAATTATTTTTATATTGTATCATATTTAGACAAGATCCACCCAAATACGCGCATAATTATTTGGATGATGTTGCATAATAAGCCGCAATTGAAGAATATAAAGCTAAAAAGCATATCTATAAATGATAGGAAAACAAAATAGTTAGACCTAGCCTAACTAGGCTAAATAATAAATGACAGCAACAATTATTCTAGTCAAGAAATACAAGCACGGATTCTTAGCGGTAATAAGAGCTTTTAAGCATAAAAAGACTCGATGAAAAGTTACTGAATCGTGACTCTAAGCTTAGAATAAGTGTTGTTCAAATGTAAGAATAAGACGAGACTTAGTCTTGGTCTTGGTATTGCGCCAATACACCTGGCCTTAGTCTTGATATTGTGCTCTTGGCCTTGGTCTTGCAGCAAGAGTCTTGCAAGTCTCGCAGTCTGTCTAGAAAGAAATTAATGGATACTCACCTTATATGAAATGGATAAAAGGTTCTGAAGCTATTTTCTTGTGGCATTGTAAATTAATTACTATTAAACTGGGAATAAGCCACAATTAAAGATAAAAATACGTTTATTGATGTTTCAATTTCCACTTCGGAAATCGTTCTCAAAATATAAACAGTACATTAAACAAATTTTGTTTTTTGTTACATAGTGAAAAATTCTTCTAATATTTAATTTTATCTTACTCATTTATATTGACAATTCAGACATACATTATGCATTTTAAAGTAGACGACTTTAAAATGATATTGCCAATATTGTTGAGTTGCGCTCCTGGGACGACTTTACTTATAAGATAGTTCATTCCACTACATGAAACCAACTTTAACTTGAGAATATCCATCAGAAAAAATCATAGCATGTAATTCGTCTTTAAAAAGACAATTACATGACATGATGACAGTAAAATTCTCCTGTTAGTGATTCCATAGTAAATTATGAGGGAAAAACCAGGAAAAAAACCTCATAATACTATCCCGACATTGTAAGTATTTGTTCGTGATTTTAGTTTACCTTCAACAGACATCAAATTCTGATTTTATATGTTACGTTATTTAAAAAACATAAATGATGTATCCTCTATATGTTACTGACTTACTAATACTGGTATTTTCTTATTAATAACTCCTCTTTCAATATTGGTAACCAGATCCTACTAGATTCTGCCGAGGAATTTGCGACACAATTGGCCTCATTTAGCATAATTAGAGCCGCTTCTTTGATTTTTCTTTTTTTTACCATCCGTTTCTTTTAGGACTACATTTGAATTATTCCATTGAACCCTATGTTCATTATCCCATGCGTGTTTACAGATTTGAGATCTATCAAATTCTCTATTTATAATATAAGATTGATGTTCACTTATTCTAACATTTAATGGCCTTGATGATTCACCTAAATAAAACTGATCGCATTCACAAGGTATTTTATAAATGCAATTCTTTGTTCTTTCTTGTTCATTGTTAGATTTGGTTTTGGACAAAATAGATCTCAACGTGTTGTTGTTTTGAATGTTGTTGAAATGTTGAATTTATTTCCTATCCTTTTAAGTTTTTCTGATAGTCCTTTTTTGTACGGTATTGTTATTTTCCTCATATTATTCCTTATGCTCCTACAGCAATACACAAGGAATAATATGAGGAAAATAAAAATACCGTACATAAAAGGACTATCAGAAAAACAGGATAGGAAATAAATTCAACATTTCAACAACATTCAAAACACCAAACACGTTGAGATCTATTTTGTCCAAAACCAAACCTAACAATGAACAAGAAAGAACAAAGAATTGCATTTATAAAATACCTTGTGAATGCGATCAGTTTTATTTAGGTGAATCATCAAGGCCATTAAATGTTAGAATAAGTGAACATCAACCTTAGATTAAAAATAGAGAATTTGATAGATCTCAAATCTGTAAACACGCATGGGATAATGAACATAGGGTTCAATGAAATAATTCAAATGTAGTCCTAAAAGAAACGGATGGTAAAAAAGAAAAAATCAAAGAAGCGGCTTTAATTATGCTAAATGAGGCCAATTGTGTCGCAAATTCCTCGGCAGAATGTAGTAGGATCTGGTTACCAATATTGAAAGAGGAAGTTATTAATAACAAAATACCAGTTATTAGTAAGTCAGTAACATATAGAGGATACATCATTTAGGTTTTTTAAATAACGTAACATATAAATCAGAATTTTGATGTTTGTTAAAGGTAAACTAAATTCACGAACAAATACTTACAATGTCGGGATAGTATTATGAGGTTTTTTTCCTGGTTTTTCCCTCATAATTTACTATGGAATCACTAACAGGAGAATTTTACTGTCATCATGTCATGTGTTTGTCTTTTTAAAGACGAATTACATGCTATGATTTTTTTCTGACGAATATTCTCAAGTTAAAGTTGATTTCATGTAATCGAATGAACTATCTTATAAGTAAAGTCGTCCCAGGAGCGCAACTCAACAATATTGGCAATATCATTTTAAAGTCGTCTACTTTAAAATGCATGATGTATGTCTGAATTGTCAATATAAATGAGTCAGATAAAATTAAATTATTAGAAGAATTTTTTCACTATGTGACAAAAAACAAAATTTGTTTAATTTACTGTTATATTTTGAGAACGATTTCCGAAGTGGAAATTGAAACGTCAATAAACGTATTTTTATCTTTAATTGTGGCTTATTCCCAGTTTAATGGTAATTAATGGGATAAAAGGGTTATACAATCTGCCATTTATTTAAATAAAAAATAAAATACAATACAAATTAAACTACAGAACAATACGCAATAGTTTTGACAATACCTTTACTTCTCTATTTGAAAAGGCTGATTCAGTTGTGGCATCAGATAATCTTGAATAATTTTCAGATAACAAGGAGAAGTTCAGTTTTCCACAAAAAAATAATAACCCATTAGGGTCCTATATTCTTCCATCCAATATTTCACTTGCCCAGTATCGATATGGCTTGCGGTTTAGGTGACCCTTCAGCATAAAAGCCGCTTCATCTGAAAAAAGTATTTTTTCTATGAAACTCTGATCTCTACTACGTTATTCCATAACGGTTTCGCAGAGCTCGATTCTTTTATCAAAGTCATCTTTACATAGCTCCTGGACCAGATGTAGTTTGTACAGATGCCACTTCTACTTTTTTAGTAATATTGTTCTGAAACTTTCTTGTGGCATTTTAAAGCAATTACTATTTTAATGGGAATAAGCGCAAATTAAGTTTAAAATAAGTTTATTGACGTTTTAACTTCCAAAGTGGAAATTGAAACGTCAATAAACTAATTTTAAACTTAAATTGTGGCTTATTCCCAATTAAAATAATAATTCCTTTTTTAGTACTCTAACAACAGCTGATTGATCGGCATTACTATCTTTTGCGATCTGCCTGCGAATTTGTATGGAAATGGGAAATTTCTTGAAAGGCCAGCACATCGTCCAGTTTTTGGCATCGGGTATTGATTTTCTGTCCCTTCTGGGGAGATTTTTAACGTGGCTGTTTCTCGAATTTCTTTTTTATATTTTGATTTATTGTCTTATCTCTATCTGCAAAACCAATTATGATTAAAATCTTAATTCGTTATGTTTTTTAAGTTTCATTGTTGTTCTTTTTCTTCATGTACCATGTCCTTTCAGATCGTTGGTTACCATCATAGCTATTTTAATTTTATCTACTGCCACCCTAAATAGCATGCTTGTATCTACACCACACCAGTCTCGCAAGTTCTTCAACCATGAGGTTCTTCTTCGTCCTGGACTGCGTTTGCCTGCTATTTTTCCTTGCATGATATTTTGTAGCAATCTATATTTGGGACCTCTCATTACATATCCGAAATATTCCAGCTTTCTCTGGAATTTCATTCTCATTGTTGTTAATGCTCTTATTAATATCGGCAAAAAACGCGAACAGTAAAAATTTAAGGTTTTTAGTTTACAGATTCATAGATCATTGACAATAAGTGTCAATAGCCAAACAATGACAATACTGATTTAAATAATTGTGTGAAAATAACTTTAAATACTTTACTGATACTACAATGATTAATTTCAAATTAAAATGTAGCATTGTTACCAATTAATGTATTTTCTTCTATCTATTTCTTTTTTCGGAACTAACAACAAACACAACTTTGTTGTATTTACATTGGTCATTAGCGCAATATGAGGTGTCCCGTGACCTTAGTTTGTATTTAAAAAAAACGTCGATTACGTGATTACGCTAACATTGATGACATAATGTCCAAAAAGCAATTAATGGCCATTCAAAAATTATTTGTTGTCGTGTTTTAGGATTTTTTATAACTCGTTTGTTTCTAAAATATTAAATGTATTGCATATATTGGCATCCTACTGTACCTATATTTGAAGTTTGTCATGATGGTTACTAAAAAAATAAAGTACCTAACTATATTGGAATTTTTCTGTTTTAAAATAGTTCTGTATAAAAATTGTTGTAATTTCTGTCATAAAAACTGTGCTCTAATGAATTTTAATATCAAGTATAATTAGTTATTGTATACACATTAACCCAACAAATGCATAGAACAGTTACATATAAAAACTACAGTGATCATTTTTAAACCATTATTTTTACTTATTTCTATAGTAAGTAGAAGTAACTAATTATTAATAATAGAAGTAGTAAAAGTAACTCTTTATATTTCAGAAATTAGTCCAGAAATGCCACATTATAAGCTTACATACTTTAACGTTACCGGAAGAATAGAACCTGCGAGAGTTATGTTCCATTATGGTGGAATTCCTTTTGAAGACGTTCGAATAGAGCATGCCGATTGGCCAAGCCTAAAACCAAGTAAGATAATCTGTAAAATTAATAAAACATTTATGTTTACATTTTTTTTTTCAAAATATACAAATTATTTGATTTTGGATCATCTTCATCATCAGTGGCACTACTGCCTAGTTGAGCCTCGACCTTTCGCAGTCCATCTCGCCAGTTTGCTGGCATTTCTCCATCTCAGTCCATCTCAGTCTTGCTCTATCTTTTCTCCTATTTGCTACTACTTCTGGTGCCGCTAATAGGGTTCGTCTGGGTGGGAAATTTTCATTTGATCTTGACACGTGGCCAACACATCTAAGCCTACCTATTTTTTATGAAAGATATTACACATCTACCATTAACTATTTTTTTTCTTCTCGTACAGTTCGAAATTATATCGCCTTCTCTAAATACTATTCTCACAGATTGCGACCATTATTCGGCGTAGTATTTCCTTTCGAAGACCAGCAGACGATTTGCGTCTGTTTTGGAGATGGTCCATGTTTCTAACCCATATCTAAGCACCGGAAGAATGAGTGTTCTATATATTGTTAATCTAGTTTTTTAGCTTAAATTTCTGTTTTTATTCTGTTTATGTCTATTCATGTAGTCAAAAATAACATTTGTTCGCTATTAATACCGTTCGTTTTACTTCTTTAGATGTGTCATTATCGGTTTTTAAGAGAGAAATCAGATAGATACACTTATTTATTATCTCAAAACTATTGTGGTCTATGTTAGTTTTGTTCGGCGTTTCTAGCTCTATCTCTATTATTTGGCATCGACGCCAACATTTTGGTTTTTTTCTCGTTTCTTTTTAGGCTCATATATGCGACTGTCAAATAGTTGGAAACTGTATCTTTAAGTCCTTGTGTGCTCGTTCTTGTCCTTAACCTGTTCACAAGAATAAAAAGTGGGTCCCCTCTCCAAGTGGACGTGGATTGTTTTTTGGGCCATTACGTCACAGATAAAATATTTAAGTTTCATAATTCATTTTTCATTACGTTCCTATTCGTCGTGTTGGTGATGATTGCTTTCTTTTCTTATATTCTTCTCTTTTTACGTCAGACGAGACAATACGTGTCCCTTAAAGTTGATCAAAAGACCATTGTAGGAAACCACGTTCGTTCATTAAACTTCAGCCAAATCTTTGATAGGAGAGACCGGAGGAATTCTGCGCATCTAAGCACAAATACCTACACAAAATTTTTTATGTGCCACAAATGTTTTATATGTGTCCATAATTGAAATACTGAAACTTTGTAAGGTTTTACAGATTTCAAAGAAAAAAAATTACTTAAATTTTATTTTACTTAAAATTATTATAATAAATACTTCTCTTTTTCCAATAATAAATTTACATTCTTTGGTTCATCATCATTATAAAGCATTCATCATGACTTTTAGACTTAGAATCATCAAAATTTAAGTTTTCTCGTTTCAACTTTCTTGCTTACAGGTCGTTTTTTTTACTTTATTATAGTGTATTTTTTACGGTTCATGTTGTTCTTTCTCTGGTTTCAGTCTTTTTATCTCTTCATGTTTTTTCTTTTCTTGTTTTATTTCTATTGAGTTTTTAGTGGCGTTGAAAAAGTAAAAAATTTAGTAGTGTTGTTTTGCACTTAATTTAAAACTTTTCTTTACATTTTTAGCAGGAAGAGCGCTGCTAGCTTTTCAATAGACTGAGTTTTAACATTTACTGGCGTTCCAGGTTGGAGTTTATCTCGCTTGTTTGATTTAAAGGTGACATTATAAGATGCAGTCTTGTGAATAGTTTCAACTGCGATGCGGTCGATTATGTGATCAGGGGCCCCTGGTGCTAGTTCATCGACGTCGGGTCCTGGTGGAGTTTTGGGGAGTATATCTGCAGTCCCATGTGGGCATGGGTTGGCGTTCGGAATTTTCAGTGTGGACCGTTCTTGAACATTTTTGTAACCTCCATTAACTGTATTATTTGTGGTGCCGTTCTGGTCTTAACTTCAAAATTTACATTAGTCTGACTTAAGATCACGGTAGTTTATTACAATGTGTATATCTAAAAACTTTAGTGTGGTCTACTAAGCTGTAAATTATCTTTAGATGAATTTATTAGGATCAAGGGCAGCACAGAATACGGATATTTCCTTTGTCCATCGTGGCAACTCTCAATTATGCTTTGCGGTTCTGTTAAAATTGCAAGCATGTTCAAAATGTGTGATATTTTATGACCATGAGTTCTCAGATACAAATCGCACTTACGATTTAAAGAATTCTTAAGGGGTCCAAAAAAGTGGACCCCTAATAATCTTATGTTGCATCATTACAATTTCGTGTGATCTAGAGTAGTATAAATCTCAATGAGGTCCATGGTATCCAATATAAAAGCACTAGGCCTTTATATGCTGACAGCTTTTCTACGCCTTTATATGCTGACAAAAATATTTTTTTTGCTCTCTCACCGGCTCTGGAACCCGATTGAGCCATGTGTTACCTTTAGTCAAATTTAATTTAATACTGAACATCACAGTTATTTTACAACACAATGTACATTCTTTCATAACTAAATTGTAATTTAAAGGGTTTTTTACCCTAGTATTTTGGTGGCTCAGGCATTGTGACCTAGCATTTTTCGATTTTAAAAACCTGATGATGGACTGTGTGGTCCGAAAACGTTTGTTTTATTGATGTGGCCCTTTTTAAGGGTTTTTTTAAATTAAATATACCCATTACAAAGATTAACCTCTTTTTTTTTAAATATTTTAAACCAGTTCGAAAATAACTCTTCATTTGTCCAACTATTTTTGAACATCTGTATATTACTTCAATTTAGACTCTCCCACTAATTGTGGATTTATATGTATTCGAGGAAATGTGAACATAGGACTGACACATTGTCCTGAACCATACAGCACATCCAATGTTATAAATAACATTTTCCCTTCTTAACAATTTTATTTTATTCGCTTCAGAAAATTGGCAAGCTAAACACCTTAATTTTGCTGAAGTGACTCCAAAACATATTCGCTAATTTTTTTATCTTAACCACTAAAAAATTGTTTGTTGTTATGATCGTACAATATAATATATTAAAATTAAAATTAAAGTAACTTTTTTAGCAAACTCCCTTTGGAGAACTACCATTTTGGAAATCGATGGTAAGAAGTATACACAAGGAGTCTCGTTGTCTAGATATGTAGCCAATATTGTTGGTTTGGTAGGAAAAACTAACGAAGAAAATTTGGAAATCGAAATTGCAGTCAATATTGTGTCCGAGCTCTTAATAAGTATGTATTTTATTAATTATTAATTAATAAGGTTCTGGGACGCTAACAGGTCATATAGACAGTTTAATAAAAACAATTATACTATCTAGAAGGACAGAAACCTCTTTATAAAGGTAAAATTTGCAGTGCTTGGGTATATCCCATTACTTAATAACTTAAAAAACAAGTATAAAAACTATTATAATTTGTCATAACAAGATCTGTTTCCTATTCAAATAAGGTCAATTCAAAAAAAGATCTCGAATTGATTCTAAGACCAGTTGATAAATTTAAACTGATCCAAACAATCAATATTATCAAAAGCAAATCTTCATGTACTGATGGACTATCCATAAAAATTTTTCCTTCAAAAAATGTGTTTGAAAGTCCTGGTTTGACTAATTAATTATTCCTTAGAAAAGGTATATTTCATATGTGCCTAAAGACAGCAATTATTATTATTCCTCTTCATCAATTCATCATTCAAAAATCGAATGTCTGCAACTATAGATCTAGTGCTTACTACCCAGTCCTATCCAAAATTCTTGAGAAACTTATAAAACCCCGACTTATGTCTTTTCTCGTTGAAAACATTTTATCACAAGTTCGATTTTTGAACCACAAGGTTCAGTTTAGGTTCTTTACTTTTTCTTATTCTTATAAATGGCATTACTAACTTAAAATCAATGGGAAATAAGTTTTCCTTTTTGCTAATGATACCAGTATCACTGGAGGAACTCTAATAATTAAAATCTTCAAGCAACTATACTTCTTGATCTACTAGATATAAAACCTGGTCCGACTCTAATTTACAATCTTTTAACATGGATAAAGCAGTGACATTATCCTATAAAGAAGCTCTTCAACCTTGCTTGTAATAACAACCAGATCAGTATCGTCGATTCTGTAAAATTTCCTGCATTTTTATAGACAGGAACCTTTAATTGGTCCCTTCGTATTGATTTTTTAAGAAAACTAGCCTCTGCCTGAATGCAATAAGATCTGTTTCGAAGGAAATCAATTTTAGTTCTCTCCAAAAAAGCATATTTGTCGTTGATCGAGTCTCATTTTCTATATAGTCTTCTTTTTTGGGTTTTAGTACAGCTGCTAATCTAATGTTTTTTTAAATTACAAAAAAGAGCAAGACAGTATCTTTTTGGGCCTCAGTAGAATAACACATTGCAGAAGCTACTTAAAAATACGGGATTTAAACCTTTTTCCTCTTTATATATTTTAGAATCTGTTTGCTTAATTCATAAAACACCCACATATTTGACTGCACAACTTGCTTCGATCTTGAACGGTAGCCCATAATAGTTTGGGTCAATGGGTAGCCCCATGTTATAAAATCTGACCATATATTGTCTCTCCATCGCATTCGTGGACGTCTTAAGGGCCTTTTTCTGTGGGGCTCCTCCAATATTAACTTGGCATGGCGGTTCTTGGGGAGTCTATGGACATGGCCTGTCATTTTAGAGGTTAGGATTTAATCTCTTGGACTATATCGCTCGCTCTATACATTTGCTTGATCTAATCATGTTATCATTATGTATTAGTTGGTATTAATGTTATAAGGCCCAAAGTTTCTTTCTGCGGATTCTTTTCTCAAAACATCTAAGTTTTCTTTCAGTTTTTTTGGCCAGTGTCCACGTCTCACACCCATACATGAGCACCAGTCTAATCACTAGGACTTTGGCAAATATGCAATAAAAATGTAGAAAATATTTCCTACTATTCATTAAGATTTACATTTATTTTAAGTAACTACATCATTTTTAAGTATGAATAAACTTATTTAGAATTATGGTAACAATAAATGACCAAGTGGTGTTCAAAATTTTCTAACAAAAACTTGTGGCTTCTGTCTGAGTACATATATTTATATATGGAAAAACTTCGGTCAACATCAACTGATGTAACGGGAGCATTTTTCAAACTAACCAAAACATTTGGTTCTAAATTAATTGTTTCCGAAATATTTCCAGCTAGAACACTGACTACTTCAGAAAGAATATGGTAACCTTTATTTTTTCCATAGTAGCTTCAAATTTTTTTAAAATATCTTTTCCAATATTACCTCTAACGTTCCGACAACATGACGCAAATTCTTTTATTAATGCTGTACTTTCGAACAATGACAGTTTTGGTGATTCTAACTGAGTAATTGTTTTTTGAACAAAACTAAAATTTGATTTTATAAATGAAAGTTCTTGTTGAAGCAAGTTACTCTGAAAAGTTTGTTTAGAATCCAAAAGAGATTGGGAACTTTCATCTGTTAACGTATCAATTATGTTCTTTATTTTAACAAAATGATCTGCATAAAAAATTAGCTGCTTCTAACCATGTTCCCCATCGCGTTAAAATAGGTTGTGGTGGAAGAGGAATGTTAGGTAGCATTTCTTTATAAAGTTGAATTCTTATAGGAGATTTAAGAAATACTTTTTTGACACTGGATATCATGGTATTTACAAGAGGAAACTTTTTTCGTATTTCCTCTGCAACTCTGTTTAATCCATGCGCTACACAAGTAACATGTATTAAATCTGGGAAAAATATTTTTAAATTTTGTCCTGCTTTCACCATATAAGGAGCAGCATCCGATAAAATAAGCAGTAATTTATTAGAAGGAATAGTTGTCGGAAGAAAAAAAGTTGCTAATGTTTCTTGTATAAAACGCGAAATTGTTAAAGCATTTGTTTTCTCAAGTTGCTGGCATGAAATAAGATGAGATTTTGGTAAGGTATCTTCTTTAAGAACACCAATCAATAAATGAGCAATATACTTTCCTGAGGAATCAGTGGTTTCGTCTACAGATATGTAAAAATAATTATCTGCAATTTCTTCCTTAATATTAATTAACACCGACGAGTATAGCCCGTTCACATTATTTCTTCTTAGAGACCGATCACTTGGAACATTAAGTTTGCAATATTTTTTTAGAAACGAACTAAAATTTACATTTGCTAATTTTGAAAGCGGTATGTTTGCAGACACTAATGCGCGACACAAGTCTTCATTAAAAGTTTCTTGCTCATCTAATTTTTTTGAAGTAGATTGGAAACATTTAGCCATTGAAGTTTGATGTTTTCCTCCTATTTTTCCTTTTTTTTGCAATGTGTGAAGCAGTTCTCACATGTTGGTCTATCTGAAATTTCTTCTCACATGCTATCTATAAATAAAAATAAAAACCTTTATTTTAACCCAACCTTTAAAATATAAAAATATACAAGGTGTTTTTGGTTAATCAAATAACTGGTTTGGAAAAAAAAACACTCGCTAAGTGTTTTAAATGCAGTATTAATCCACAAATTAGTTTTTGTTACTAACCATTAGTACATCATATAACTTATTTTTAAAATTCAACAAAAGTTTTTTTTTTGTTAATTCAATTACAATAAAAATAATTGTGTTTTAGAATAGCTGACTTCATAAAAAAAAGTAAAGGTGAAAAATTTTTCTAAATACACACCATTGTATTGTACCATGGACAATTTTTTCTCACTAAAGGAAGCTATTTTTCATTTAAAAACAACCTACGAGTACTAAATTTCAAGTAAATACGTTTATTGGTTTTAAAGTTATTGTTGTTATTAACTAAAAGAATTTAATTTTTTTTAATTTTAACACCCTGTATCTCGAAAAGTAAATAAGTTTGACCCCTCATTAACTATATCGTTTTGTTCAATTTTTCGAGAAGTATCTACAGTCAAACGTTGTAAGTGTCATTTGGAAACACCCTGTATGTATGAAATATTAGATATTTAATAGAAAATATTAGATACTTACAATTTTGCCACAGACTGAACAGTAGATTTTTCCCATATCCATAGACAGCTCTTTATAAGGTTTAATCCAAGTTGAAGCACTGGTTGTTTTAGGCATTATAAAATCACAATCTTCCTTTTTGTTACGCACAACGAGTGTTTACGCTTTGAATATCAAAACAAAAATGATTTACAAATCTGAGCATCAAATTAGAAATGTTTAGGTACCTAATTCAATAAACTGGAGGAGATTTTGGAAAATCCCTAAATTAGGAACAAAACTATTAGCCGTTTACCTGCTGTTAAGATACAATAAATTGTAGATAGATTTGGGGATTAGATCATAAAATGCAAATGAGCGAACCCTTAGCGATTATCCAATAACTGAATGCCTCAGTGACCGAGACTTTCTAAGAATGTTGAGGGCTACTTAAATTGATCTTCTTTGAAATTGTAAATGTTTTGTACCTGTAGAGATTACGTACTTAGATCATTTCTTGATTAAAATGACTACAAAATTTTATACAAGAATTGAAATAAATTGGTATGTTTAAAAAATTTTCAAATACAGTATAAAAATCTGAACTTTTATGCACTTTATGCAAACTTTTATACAAATATGCCAAAATATGAAATATTTGCATAAAATATGCACAATATGCAAAATATGCAATATGCATATTTGCCGAAGTCTACTAATCACAGTTTTATATATTCTAATCTTTAATGTTCGTGTTAGGCTTTTAGATTTAATAGTATTGTGGAGGCTGTACATACATCTGTTTGGCTGCCTGAATTCTTCCTTTAATCTCTTCCGCGATATCGTTATCTGCAGTGATTGTTGCTCCGAGATATTTAAAACTCTCATAAAAGCACTCTTTCAAAGTTATATGGGTATTGTAACATTTTGCCTTAAACCAGTTTTTGTAAGTAATTTTGGTCCATTTACTGTCAGTAATTCTGTTTTAAGTTGTGCTGCTCTTACTACTTTTCTCCATGATGATATTAAAAAGGAGAGGTGTCAGCGCATCTCCTTGTTTCAGGCCACTGCTCATTTCGAAATATTCTGAGAGTTTTTATTTATCCGTACTCTGGATCTACAGCTATTCACACATAACTTAACAAGCTGGATAAGTTTTTGTTGGAACTGAAAGTTCTGCCATTGTATTCCACATCTGATCACTTTTAATGCTGTCGTACGCTTACGAGAAATCTATGAAGAGATTATGGAAGGTTGTATTGAATTCCCATCCTTTTTCAAGCAGCTGTCTTAGAGTAAAGATCTAATCTATGGTCGATCTATGTTTTCTGAAGCCGGCCTGGTATTTCCCCATAAATTTTTCTACAAACATTGTCAGCTTACCTAATAGGATATCCGATAAGATTTTATATGCCGTATTAAGTAGGGAGATGCCTCCATAATTAGAGCACTTGGTTTTGTCTCCCTTTTTATGGATGGGGATTATTACACTTTCGTGGCATTTTGTTGGTATTTTCTCTTCGTTCCATATAAGTGTTTATTAGTTTGTGTACTTATTTATCCATGTAAAGTTTCTTCTCCGTACTTAAGAAATTTAGCCAGTATATTGTCAGAGCCTGGAGCTTTTCCGTTCTTCAATTTGTTAATTGCTTGCAATGTTTTATCTATTTTGGAGTCCTCTACCGCTAGGTCCACCCCAAAATATATATTTTCTCCATGTTCTTCCAATTTTATGTATATTTAGTAAAATCTTAAAATATTCTTGCCATGTTTGGAGCAGTTTCTTTTTCATTTATTAATTAATTCATCATTTTTTCTAAGTACAGACAAGCATCTAGGTCTGAAAGCCTTTCTTTTCGTTTGACACTGATTTGTAAAATGCTCTACTATTTGACTGTTGCCTATAACTTTTCTATTTTTTTCATATTTCTGTTGTTCGTACCTTCTTTTTTTCTCTCTAATTAATTTTCTTGATTCTCGGCGTGAAGTTGCATATTTTTTCTTTTGTTTTCTGCTGTTCGATGTTAAAGCATAATGTTTCGCTTTATTGGTCTGGTCGTGTAGTTTTTCTTAACATTCTCTATTAAACCATTTCCTTGTTCTCTTCTTGCCTTCTCCTATTATTATTTCTGCTGACTCCGTAATTGATTTTTGCATTTGTTGCTACAGCCTTTCGACATCATTGCTCTTGTCTACTGTATTTAGATCCTGTTTAATTTCTTGTTTGTAATTTTCTTGGATTTCTTCGTTTTGCACTTTTTCGATGTTTCACTGTTCCTATGCTTCATTGGCCTTAGTTTTTCTCTGAAGATATTCTCAACCTGATTTTTGCTCTTACTAGGAGATGGTCTGTATCTTCATCTACTCCACTGAGGCTTCTTACATCCAGCACATTACTTTCTGTCTAGCATCGATAATTACGTGGTCAATTTGTTTCCGAGTGGAGTGGTCATTAGAGACCCAAGTCTGTTTATTAATGTTTTTTATGTTGGAACACAGTAGACTCTTCAAGCATATTGTTAGCCGATGTTAGCTCTATCGAGCCTTTGTCCATTGTCGCTTGAGATATCGTGGAGGCTGTGTTGTCCTATTTTCGGTCTTAGGTTAGGTTCTTTGCCAATTTTTGCGTTGAAGTCTTCACAGATTACCTGCATGTCTTGTTTAAGGAGTTTCTCAAACGTTCTTTCGAGTTATTCATAAAAGTAGTCTTAATATGTTCGTGTTTTATCTTCTGTCGGAGCATGTGCTGATATAATTGAAATATTGTACCATGTAGAAAAGTCGGTAGAAAATGACCGCCTTGTCTATTTTTATGTTTCCCGTATCTAGCCACCCTATTTCTTCTATTGCGGTAATGTCCATTCCTACTTTTTGTGTTTTTCTGACTATCATAAATATATTAATTTTTTAAGTATTAAATTTTAAGCCATATTTTTCGCATTCTCCAATAACACTATCAATAACTGTAGTTCTTAATAATTAGTAGATCAGGAGCAAAGCGCAGTTCATGTAACATTAAAATTGTATTATATTATATTACAACCAACATTGTTATTATTTCTAGCTGCTTATGAATTCCATTATGAACCTAATGAAGAAAAGAAGAAGCAAAACTTAAAAAAACTTAATGAATTGATGGATAAATACTTACCCGTCCTTGATGAAGCTGCCAAAAAGAATGGAGGTCATCTTGTTACTAACAGGGTAATATTATTTTTTATTTATAAATTTAATGTTAAAAAGAAATTATATATGTACTTGCTGACCCAGCAAACTTCGTCTTGAAATTAAATAATTAAATAATGTGTCAAAGTTCAATTACTTAAAATTAACATGAATGAAAAAAGTTTTTGTCACAAAGACTAATTTAGTTATTTACATAAAAACTTGTAGCTGATTTCCACAAAACCTTCCAACTGTTTGTTTTGTGATTTGTTTATCGTTATTTCACAAACCAAAGCACGGGAAATTAAAACGCTTAAAATCAAATTGTGAATTTGTTGAAATCATCGATATACTCGGGAGCAAGACATGCTATGGATCATTTATTATGAACGCATAATGTTGAATTTTTCCAATCAGCAAATACAATTTATTATATCTAATATCAAGCTCCCCTCTTTTCTTTTTGATATGAACTTTCCAGCGCAGCCTCGCGTCTAGGGTGATGACCACGTATTTTGCCGATGTTGCATAAGGAACTTGGGTATCATTTCATTTTTTATTTGTAAGATAATGTGTGCAGATTTGTCTCATTTAATTTTTATTTCGCCATTTTCTGGTCCAGGTTTGTATTGTATTTACTCATAGTTGTTACTTATCAGCAGATTCTTCACTAGTGTCTCCTATCGCTAGTATGGCTGTATCATCCGCGAAGTTGGCAATAGTGTTTTGTTCTAGCTTTGGAATGTCACACGTATACAATAGGTACAGGAACGGACCTATACACTTCCTTGTGGCACGCCAGCTTTTATGTCCCTTAAATCGGTGTACACTTCTTCTTGTTTTACTCTGGAATACTATTCGCAATGTATGGTTCAAAGATGTCTGAATACTGTATAGGCATGAAACGTTATTAGTTTATAGTTTAAACCCTCATGCCAGACTTGATCAAAGTCCTGTGCTACGTCCAAGAAGATTGTAGAGCAGATTTTCTTTTCTTCTAATGTTTTTTTATTATATTCGTTATTCTGTAACTTGATCTATAGTGGAATGTTTATTTCTAAAACTAAATTATGATTTGTATAAGATCTTTCCTATAATCTTGATCTTTTCTCTTAAGTTATTGGTTTTATCTTTTTCAATAGAAGTTTTTCAAATAGTTTTGATATCACCGGTACTTGATTTGGCGATCATAATGACTTCGGTTCCCAGAGTCTGGGAACGTATCTCAATTTAAAAGCAGCATTTATTAGGTGTGTCAGCTTAACTTTGGCTTTGCTTGGTAGATTTTTTAATAGTTTTTTCTGTTATAAGATAATATCCTGGAGCTTTCTTAGGATTTATATTATCTTTTATCTTTGTTGATGTTTCTCTAAATGATGTCAACGTTATTCTTTCTTCGGTTTGGAATGGTTCATTTCCACCTCATTTTCTAAGCAATTTTTACAAACCTGAAGAAAATGTCACTGTGAAGAGGAAAGAAAAGTACGGAATATCAGTAGAAATTAATTGCAAACAATTAGTACAATATTACAACAAATATATGGGCTCTGTAGATAAGTCTGATATGTTAGTATCTTGCTAGGAATTGAATAGAAAATCAAAAAAGAACTTTTTTCCATTTTGTTGACCTAATATATGGTACAAGAACGTCTTTGAAAGAAGTTAAAATTGCTGTTGCCCACCGGTTTGATTAAAGAAGACCCAAAAAATGCCATAATTTGGAAGAAGAACCACGGACGAACCAAGCACCAGTAACAGGTACAAAAAATAAGTACCTCTAGAAATAAGAACTAACGAAGCAGCCAATATTCCTCAGAATGGAGCCAAAGTACGTTTTACATACTGCAGTACTAAGGCAACTCCTCATCGTACAAGATTGCACTGTACTACATATAAAGTAGGTTTATGTCTATCTAACAAAATTGTTGCATTTCATTTCATGCTAAATAATTTTTTCATTTGTGGCCTAGTGGTTCCACATGGTATTACGTTTTTATCTAATAATTACAAAAATAAAATATAAAAAACGTTTGATTTGTCTATCTTTTGCCATATAATGTCCTAAAAACAAATTACTCTCCGTTTAATATAATAAAAAACAAAGTCCGTCCAAAACGAGTTAATGCAAAAAATATGTAAATAATTACTAAATACTTTTCCAAACAGTAATATCTTTTTATAGATGGAATATTCTAGTAGAATTTCTGCTGAGATTTTGCCACATCTTTTGTGATTTATATTCTTTGAGTTTTGATACAATTTGTGTCAGTTGCATCTGGCATCTAATGGCATGTTGCATCTAATTGGTGGCATAATGTTATTTTAAATTAAGTAGGTGCCAAACCTAAACCTACATATTAATAAATTTAGGTTATGTTTGGATTGTATTGAGTTTTGAGGACACTGATCACTTTACTTTTATACAACCTTATACACAGAAAAATAATAACTCATTGAATTTTTTACTTTTAGCTTACCTGGGCAGATATCTTCTTTGTAACATCGTATGAAGATATAAGACATTTACTTGAAAATAAGGATATTGTAAAAGATTTTTCTGGATTACAAAACTTGAAGAAGAACGTACTATCAGAAAAAAATATTAAGCAGTATATCCAGAGCCGTCCAAAACTTCCAACCTATAAGTACGATCTAAGAAGTGAATTGTAATTTTTTTAATATCATGAAATATGTATTTTCATTGTGTAAAAACATTGTGTGTTAAATCTTCTAAAACATTTTTAATACAATATATATAAAAAAAACTTAATATTTATTTCTGTTAGAACGTAAAAATCGTAAACTGTAATAGAAAATTATTGGCAGTATATAACAATCTTAAGCAAAGATCTTTGTTTCAAAAATAATTTAGAAACTTAAAAAAAAAACGGTTTTGGTATACCACGCAATCAAAAATATACTGAGCAGGATAATCAAACTTTAATTTTAAAATTTTTCTTAAAAAACTCTGTAAGAGTGGCGTCTAGTTCTTAACTCACGAGAGGTAGTTGTTACACGACAAAAAAGTTAGTAGTATTCGAGAAATCTCAAACTAAACTACTTAAATAAGACGACTGGAAGGACTTGAGTTATTATATTTTCTTTTCCTAATACTAGTGTTTGTTATTAGCAATAACAAACAGATATTCCACGGAAAAAGGAGAATCTGCAGCAACAAATGAGTACAAAAAGCGTGTACATATGTCAAATATAATTCGAGAGTATAAGAACCATACTCTCGAAGTCTCTTGACAATTAAAACTAACACAGTGTATACCAGTACAAAGCGGAGTCAGGCAGGGTGACTCGTTAAGCCCATTTCTCTTTAATATAATAATGGACGAAATAATACAAGCAGTACGTAAAGGTCATGGCTACAGAATGGGGAACAAAGAAATTCAAATATTATGTTATGCAGACAACGCTGCATTAATCTCTGAGACACAAGACCAACTCCAAAGATTAACACACATCTTCAATGCAACAGCCAAGAAATACAATATGATAATATCAGCAGAAAAAAACAAAATCTATGACAAAACCTAAATACCCACTACGATGTAAAATCAAAATTTATGGAAGATAATAAAGCAGGAAGCAAGGTTTAGATATCTAGGAATAGACATAACTAGTTACGGAGATGCTGAAGAAGAAGTACGACAACAAAGCTTAAAAGTAAGTAAAGCGGCGGGATATCTTAATGACACAATCTGGAAGAACTAACACCTAAGACATAAAAACCAGAATTTATTAAGCAGCAATTAAACCTATATTAACATACACAGCGGATATAAGACCTGACAAATCCAAAACGTAACATAAGATTGAAGGCAAGAAAGGAGTAGGTCGCAAATAAATGTCGTGGCTACGGAACATAAAGAACTGGACAGGCATAAATAACACTGGCGATCTTTTGCATGCCGCAAAAGACAGACGTCTGGCCTTAAGATAATTCGCCAATGCACTATAGGTGCACGGCATGTATACGAAGAAGACATCTAAAACGAGACGACTACTAGAAACAATAGAGATGAAAATACTCCGACGAATATCAGGGAAAAAGTCGGTTGGATAGGGAGAGAAGCGAAATCATACGAATAGCATGCAATATAAAAGACATAAATGGATGGGTGAAAAAACGGAAAAAACACATTAGTAAAATGGCAGAGGATAGGATAGTACGCATAGCACGAGATAAGTCACCAAATGGATGAAGAAGTATTGGCAGACCAAGAAAAAGATGGTACTACAATTTAAACAATTTAGGAAGCTAATATTGAAGAAGAAACAGGCTTTAAAGCATACATACTTAACCGTTTCAAAAGTTTTAGAAAATTCATTATAAATTTGATTATTTTTTTTTAATAAAACTACTAACCCCACCTATCTGCCAGGTGCTTGTATTCGACTCAAGGTTTCTACGGTAATTCTCAACATATCCGATAGATGAGAACGGTATTAACTTGTCAATCACGCCCCAATTCAAAACCGTTGAGAATAGCGTCACTTCCTTTCCTGTTACAAACGTCCACCCGATAGGACGTTGTTTTAGAAGTGAGTCTCTAGGTTAGAGGTAAGCTGCAAAGAAAAGCCTTTTCTTGTCTATATTTCAGTAGATAATTATTTTCAGACTTTTTCCGGGAGGTTTAAAGTTCATTGATTATGTTAAGTTAACTGAGACAGTTTCCTATGGTCCAATACTTCCCTATATATGGTTTGCCAATAATTACTTATAATATAAATGGATTCCTATTAGTAAATATTTGATGAAATAACCAACGGATGAGAAGAAGCAGAGTATATCCGTTTTTTCCTAGTTCCCAGAGATTGGATAAATAAGGTTGTACCTATTTTTTATTAAGCCCTATCAGGAACGCGAGAATTATTTATGGATTCACAGAGACAAGAATATAGTGAAATATTTTAATTTTGTTTAAAGTTTTGACTTAATTATGTTTAGTTACTAATTAACTACTAAAATGCTTTAAATGTAAATAAATTTCGAAATTTGGAAAAGAAATATAGTTTCATTTATTTTTAATAACCAATTCTTGACTTAATACGATATGAAGTTGTTTTGTTTGTAGTATAGTCAATATGAAGTAATATGTTAGTATCTTTTGGGAATAATATAATTTTTAATGTTTCTTTTTATTACTGAATTTTAATTTTTTTTTATCCTCGTCCCTGCGAGTTGAAATATAGGGGTGGCGTCCAATGATAAATTATAATTTCATGTTATCTAATTGTGTTTGAAATTTTGACGTACTACATAGTTTTTTTGTGCATTCGACCTTACCACACCTTATCTCCGTCATAGAGCTAACCTGACCTTGAATTAAATGTGTGTACTAGATGTTATCAAATATCGACGTTACAATACAAGAAGGAAGAAGATGAAGAAGAAGAACTGTATTAACCCTGCTGTCCTGTTCGGGTCTATTTGACCCAAAAAATAAATGTATTTCTTATTTTGTAAATTATTACGCGGCGTAACGTTTTGGTGCTTTGGGACTTTATTGCCTAATATGAGGTCTTTCAGTTGCATACGATGTAAAAAATCAACTTCCTGATTTTTTTGATAAAAATTAAATTGATAGCTATAGTACGTTCGGGTCAATATGACTCACGTATTTAAACCGTTAAACATTACCTGCGTACGTATGTTTAGTTGGCAGTATTTTATATATTTTCTAACAGTTTGTCAGTCAGGTACGTCTATAAATATAAACAAGTCTCTGCAAGCTAGAACTTGTAAAAAATGTGTAGTGTAGCTGAACGATGTCATTTAGAAGTGCATGTCATGTAGAAGGAAGTGGTGGTGATAGACAAGTGGTAGGCTGGTAGAACAATGATATGCCAAGCACATTCATTTACGTTTCAAATTTCAGTCTATGTTTGCATGTTGATAATGTCGCATCGAGGAACGCTAATCGAAGATAAGCTTCGCGAGGTTGCGAACGTGTTAGAGAGTGATGAGTGCATATCAGAAAAAGAAAACAATAAAAGTAGTAAAAGTGAGGAAGAAAGTAGGGACGATTCTGCTGTTCCTTTCTACGTACAACATCCTGTAGAACCTTCTGTAACAGTTCCTTTAAAAGACGGTAATATCCAGTGGTCTCTCGATCCTCCTTACCAACGCAGTCGTTAATGTTATAAATAAGGCTCCAAGAGTTACAAGGTACGCATGTGCTCGAATTTCGATATGAAAAATTCATTTGACGCCCTCTTTTCTGACATAGTTGCAAACCAAATTATAAATATGACCAACATGGAAGAATAGCGCGTTTTTGGAACCAACTGAAAAGACTTGGATAAAAGTAGTTTTCAAGCATACATTGGTATTTTATTGTTATCTGGAGTTTTTAAGTCCCATGGCGAATCAACTAAAAGTTTGTGGAATTAATAAACGGGTCGTAGTGTATTTCGAGCAACAATGTTCCTGGAAGTATTTACAAAAATTGTGCAAGTAATACGTTTTGATAATAAGATACTAGACAGGATAGAAGTCGTACTGAAAAACTTGCTGCAATACGTGAAGTTTGGGAAAAATGGGTAGAAAATCTACCAAAATTTTTAAAACCTGATCAAAATGTTATTGTCGACGAGCAGTTAGTTGCCTTTAGAGGCCGCTGTCCCTTCAAACAGTACATTCCAAGCAAACCGGCGAAATATGGCATAAAAATTTGGGCTTCATGTGACAGTTAAAGTTCGTATGATCTAAAATTGCAGATCAATACAGGAAAGGAAGCAGGTGCCGCGCCGAAACGGAATCAGGAAATGCGTGTGTGTGCAACTTGTATAGTGATTTGAAAGACCACAATATTACTTGTGATAGCTTTTTTACATCATACCGTTTAGGACAACTTCTTCTAAGAAGGAAAAATACAATGCTGGGGGCTATAAAGTAAAATAAACTAGAGCTTCCAGCACAAATTGCGAATAAAGAAGTTCATAGTTCGTCTTTTTACTTCACTTAAGATACAACTGTTGTTAACTGTTATTTCTAAAATGAATAAAAATTTTATTCTTATGAGAACTTTGCATCATGATAAGGCTATTAGTGACAGAAATGATAAAATGACCCAAATTATTTTAAATTACAATTCCAGTAAGGGAGCAGTGGACACTCTAGATCAGCTTGTTGGTACATATACATCTAAGAGGAAGACAAATCGCTGGCCTATGATTGTTTTTTATAATATGCTAGAAATTTCTGCCTACAACGCGTTCGTTTTATGGACATCAATAAATCCCCAATGGAAACTCAAAAACCTAAAAAACGGCGATTTTTTCTTGAGAAAATAGAAAAAACACTTGTGAAACCACTTATCCTTTCCAGGAACAATTTACTAAGAACTAAAGACTTACAAGAACTGGTAAAAAGAACACGAACAGAAGCAACGTAGAGTAAGATGGAAATTCAAGTGAACTGTCTATGGACAATCCAACTCCGTCCTGCTAAACGATCACACTGTGCGGACACTAATCCATTCGCCAATCTTACCAATTTGAGGTGTAGTGTGTGTGTATGTGTTCGTGTGTGGGTGTGTAGTGTATTGTCTTGATACTTAGCAAAGTCGACGTCATTGTCTTTGCTAAGAGAACGCTAATTGTATCCGAACGTTCTGCGGTCCCTCGGTGTGTACCGATCACACAAGGGATAGAAATTATTTTCATTTATTAATTTTTTTTAATTAAACGAAAATTTCCACCCAGGTGGGATTCGAACTCACGACCTTTAAAGATCACGCTGTAA